CCAAACTCTCGCATTTTTATATATTAAGAGCGTTTTGATCACATCAGTACATAGAATTGTTAAGAACTGTAGAAAAGACCCCTCTTTTGCTGTATTAACTAGGGTATTAATAGGACATTATGTAGAAAACAGGGAAAATCATGAGGCCTTTTCTTTATCATCCCAATGTATGTGAAGGTAGGAAGAGACATGAATAACAATAAAAAGTCGGGTGCCAAAGTTCCTTATCCCCTGAAATTTATGTTTGGGATCTGTAGAAGTACTGATAGGTCTGAGCATCCCAGAAGCCTCAGGGAATAGCCCCTATAATACACTAAGAAAACTTTCTGCAAGATCAGGGGGAAATCACAAAGGGGCCCACTCAACATCCCTGTTGGGAGATGGGCTAGAGAGAAGACTGCAAGGTAGCACTCTTACTTCCCACTGGGTACAGAAGAACCAACAATTATCATACAGGAGATGCAATCATCTGGAAAGCAATTATAATAAATCAGCCTAACTGAAATTTCATTAAAGGTCAGACAAGTTCTTGGGAATCCTTGATTTAGAAAGGAAGCCTGCTTAGTAGTCTGTGGCAGAATCAATGATTATACAGAGGGTAAGCATGGAGGTGAGGAGTCTTAGGCACCATACTTCCTCTGAATGAGAAAACTTTAATTATAAATAAATAGTAAAGCTTATATTGTTATCAAAACATTTATTTTCTGAATTACGTAAGTGAAGTAAGATTCAAAAATATTTCACAGTTGATTTTAGCCTGTATAATTATTAGCATCCATGGATTACTTTATTCATAAGCTTTCTGAATAAAGAGAGAGTTTGTAAAGGAGTTAGCAGAATCCATATATGGTTATAGTGATCTGAGAGTATTTTGAGATCTTGGATAATTCAGAACAAATGGCACATTATTAATGTATAAACTTAAAAACAATCATTCCTAAAATGATGTTCTGCACATATTCAGAATTCTACCAGACATTTATTACATTCAGTTGTCAATATTATTCATGGTCTATAATATAATCTACTGATTTTGAGCAGTAATAATAACAGTAGAATAAAATGGATGTTGTAAGTAAGTCAGTGAACCAGAAACAAATATGGTCTTTCTTGGTAGTGATGTACACAAAACTAAGCTCAACTGAAGCTCAGAAGTGGTGGGGTCCATTAAGAGCAGTATCAGCACAAAAGGGGAGCAAACATAGAATAATAATTTTTGTTTTGGTACCAGGGATCAAACTCGGCCCCTTGCACTTGTGAGGCAGGCGGCAGAACCACTGAGCAAAATCCCTAGCCCTAGAATAATAGATGTTAAAAGGAGAGTTTTCCATGAAGATACAGCTGAGTATAAGCACCCAAAAATATAAAAGTTACAGAAGCAATACAACTGATAAGAGCTACTAATACAAGAAAAAGATCGAACACTCAAAAAGAATGGCAACAGCTTAGGTGTAATCAGTAAAAGACCCAAATAGTTTACCATGGCATTTAAATAATCCCGGTCTGAAAGTGGATCATTCATGCCCACATCTTTGAAGTCTTGGTGAAAAGAAAAGCATGTATATTTCAGGAAGTACAGGCTATAAAATCCTGAAAGGCACTTCCTGTAAAACAAAGACAAGACAAAGCAAATACAATGGGGTACTGTTGCCTGGAGGTCCAGGCTCAGAGCACAATGCCCCAAAATGTGGTGCACTGGCTAGTGAGAAAACTGCAGGAAAAATGGTCACTCTGACTTTACCATACCTTTCTGTGTGCACGATGGCCATAAAGGAATCTTCTGACCTACCTCACTTGAAAGTATGTCATAAGGCCCTCCCTCTGGAGGGTTCTGCCACCTCTGAAGGCTCTTGTGTCACATGATATATGTTTACAGATGATTTCTAAAGACTATTCTCTTATAAATCTTTTTGTTACATAGGTAGCAGCCATGACTTTTGCAAGCTACATTCCTGGTACTTTAATTATTTTTTCTAAATTTTGTGACTGCCTCTAGTTAAGTCCCTAGGTTTCCCAGGTTGGAGTCAAGCTTGTGGTTCTCCAACCTCAGCCTCCCAGAATGTTATGATTATAGACATGTGCCTTACAGACCTTAGAGTAGACATATAAAAGAGATAAAACATAATAATGAAAGATAAAGTTACATTAAATTTCAGCAAAAGAAAAATATTCTATGTTCAACTCTAAAATGTAAGAATAAAATATTTCTAATATGTTAATTCATCCATATTTTATAAAACAGGGCTCAATAGAATAATTGATAAAGTGTGTGCTTTTATATACTATTTGCAAAACATGAACATGTGCACATGCCTGAAAAATGAATATATATATATATGAATATATATATATATAGTTGGTATTTAATACACATGCAATTAATACATTTCCAGATACATTTCAACATTACCATAGGAATTTTGTGGGTAAAAAATAGTAGAGAACAATCTGAAGATGCAGAGAATTATTGTAAATATTTTAAATGATTTTACTTCTTTCTAATCTATACAGTTCAATAAAAAAGCTAAATATTTCCATAGAAACTAGATAAAAGGTGGGATGAAATGTAATAACAAAGAAATACAAGTGGCTGATAAATTTACTGAAAATTTATTAATACAAGCATCAAGAAAGTGAAAGTCAAATTTTAATGTGGTGGCATATGTTTATAATCACAGCACTCTGGGAAACTGAGGTTGGAGGATTGCAGGCTTGGATGTAACCTAGGGAACTTAGTGACTGAGCTAGAGGTGGTCTTAAAATGAAAACAAAAATTTTAAAAAGCCAGGAACGTAGCTCAGTGTGAAAGCCCTGAGTTCAATACCCAGTACTACAAAAATATTGAAAATTAAAACTGTGAGAGGGATATATTTTTCCCAACTGAAACCTCATTAGCTTGGCCTTTACTGCATGCATTCCTATCAGCATTCTTGTCTTCTGAACTCTCAAAAGAACCATCTAAAGGGCTCTGCTCAAAATATTATAGGGCTCCTCTAGCCCACATCTTCAAACCTTTCCAGACTCCCTCCACAAACCAGTTTCAAATGGTTTCAATCCACGTGGTCAAGTATAGTCACATCAACAACACCACTCCTTGTACCAATCTTCTCATATAGTCATTTTTTCATCACTGGAACAAAATATTCAACCCTCACATACTTAAATGCAGTGAGGTTTCTTTTGGCTCTTGGTTTTAGAAGGTTCAGTTCATAATTAGCTGGCTACAAGGCAGAAACTGTGTGGCAAAAGAGTGTGGCAGAGGAATGCCACTCAATCTATAGCAACCAGAAAACAGAGTTAAAAGGGAGGAGCTGGGGACAAGAGCATACCTTTACGTGTTTCCCCTCCAACCAGACCCCACCTCCTAGCAAGACACTCAGCAATGAGCTTATGAGTGGATTAATCCACCAAATATAGTGAATTCACTGAATATGATCGTGCTCATATGTTCTAATCACTTTCCAAAAGCCCCACTCTGAACATATGAGACTTTTGCAGAACATTTTAGATTTAAACCACAATACTCATGGATATCATAGAAATTGATGCAATCTGACACTAAGAAGGAAATCAGGCTTTCAAGGGAACTGCTCAAAATATAAGGCACACAAATATTTTAAAGGAGAAATGACATATTAGATCACAGATTTCATGAGAAAGAGAAAATTTAAATTAAATGGTAACTTATTTCTTGTCTATGATCCCAAGCTACCATGGGACCAAAGAAAGAGATGCAGTCATATCTAGTTGCACAGAGTGCAAGGTGTTGGGGATATTCTCAGAGAAGTGTGGTTCTGGGAAGTGGTGAGACCTAGGGAATCACCACCATTTGGGGCAGAAGGAGGGTCGTATAGGTGAGGACAAGTTAGAATGTACCTAATTTATTTTAAGTTAATATTAAAGAATCAAACATTTTCCTGGAGCAAGAGTTCATGTGTGAAGCTCTCCATGCTATGTTAATAGTTTTATCTATAGCTTGCTGGGAAACTGTGTAGAAAAATCTTACTAGGCTTACTCATGGGTAAGTTATAACTCAAGAAAGCTACAGTCATGTCAATCCTAATCCATACAAATATCACAGTGGCATATTTTAATACAACTGTCTTATTCTTGATAGCTTAAATGAACAACAAAAATAAAGAACATAAAAATCTGAAAAATAAATGCAATGCACTTGACTAATTCAAATATAAAAACTATTCAACAAATAGGCAAGACATTTTTATAAGGACATATGAAAAATTTACAAAAATTGATGTTAGATAGGCTACACAGAAAGCCTCAGCGAATTTCAAAGATTTGTATTATTCAGGTTATATACAACAAAATATTTGCTTTAGCCTTCAATGATGAAAAATGTGTTTATAAAAATCTCAACCTATTGAGAAATTTCAGTTGTCAAATTACTGATGAACTACATAAGAAATTATTGATAATAGAGAAAGAGATCTGAACTGAATGATAATGGAAACATATTAAAGCCAATGAGTTGGAGGAGCAGGGAGGGAAGGAAGGGGTAGGGATGAGAGACAAAAGAAGTAAGATGTGTTGTGGACACGCACCGATTCCTCCCGACAAATGTAAGCATTAAGTGCTGCAAACATGCACTACTGAAAATAAAAAATAAGCCAATGAGAAGAAGCATCAATACTACTTAAAGGAAATGTATCCATCTGTCCAAAGGGAGTGAAAAATTCAACAATTACTAACAAGTATTTTTAATGTATATTTTATTAACATAAAATAAATAGCGTGTACTTTACCATTTTATCTAATTTTAAGTGTATAGTTCAATGACATTAAATACGTTTATATTGTTGAGCAACCATTGCTACCATCACCTCCAGACCTTATCTTTCCACATGGAAAGACAGTATTACTTACTCAAAAACTTCTCACTGACCTCCCCCTCCTTCCCCAGTTAGCTTAAATATTTAAATACGGAGAGTCCAAAAAAAGTACAAAAATACATAATAAATGTAAAAGTGAGACTACATTAAATGAAAACAAATATAGACAGCACTGTGAGGTCCCGGGAGCGGCTTGGAGCCCCGCCTTCATCCGGAGGTCTCTCCTCGGGTCGGCCAAGCAGCCTGAGGCTCCTCGGCTGTGTTCCAGTTCCTGTCCACGGCCTGGTGAGGTCCCGGGAGCAGCTTGGAGCCCTGCCTTCATCCGGTGCTCTGCTTAGCTGAGCGGGCACCTGAAAGGCCCCATTCCATCCCCCCGCCAGCCCGCCTTACGGCTCTTCTGCTACCTGGTCCCTCACTACAGAGGCACAGGGGATTATACTTCACATAGTTAAATGTGATAGATTAATAACTATCACAACTTGTCATTTTCTAAGCTGCGCTTGACGCTATGGTATTGCTGATTGTAACATTTGGCCTAACATATGATTCATCTAATCAGTTTTCCTTCCTGGTATAAGGAAAATAAAATAGCCTCAGAGACATTAGAGCCTCAAAACCTAAACACAAGCCATATCTGGAAGACACCTCTGAAAAGCAATCATTCCACAAGGGTTTTAAACACAAGCAACAAAGATACCTGCATTAAGCAATTTTGAAATATCAACCCAGGAATTAAACCAAGGACAGTACCAAAAACAAAAATGAGAAGACATTTAAGCAACGCACAAACGCAGACTTCCATACCACAAAAAGGAAATTCTGGGGGAAAAGAGGTGGAAAAGTTGGATAATCAACCACCTGGACACCCTGAACTGATAGCACAGGAAGTAACAAAGCAGATACATGAGGCTCTAGAAAAATTCAAAGCAGAAATAATCTCCCAGATAA